ATATATATATATATATATATATATATATATATATATATATATATATATATATATATATATATATATAAGCATTGTAATTTGCCGAATATCCGCGCGAAGCTCCCAGCTAAATACCTTGGATAAATATCCATCGTGCAAAACGATTGGAATTGCAGTGTTTGATTGCACTCTCGTGTGTGTATTTTTGTGTTGTGTGTGCAGAAATGGAAACGAGGGTGGGGCGATCACGGTAGAAAGATCGCATTGGTCTATTATAGCGCGTTTTTCTTTGTTCGCGGTTTCCCTTTCTGCATTTTCAGCTCTCTGCTCGCCTCGCGGAGCAGAATCGCTCAAAGCGTTTTTCGACTTTCGCCCTCGATAAAGCGCTTCACTCCCTAGTCCGACATGATCGTGGATTTAAGTGTGTGCATGCTTCTACTTTGTAATAGCTTACTGCGCTGAATACATTCGATGATCGAGTCTGTACTGTTCGGGGAACAACAGCTCTGAACAGCGCATTACGGATCGTTCCCTACTTTGGGAGAGAGATCTATCTTGAAAGGGAAGTTTCCTTAAAATTTCTGGATATTTTGCAATCACGCTCGTGCCATAAAAATTGACCTACATTTTTTCTCTCTCTCTCGATACATTTTGAACACATTTGATATTCATTGGAGAAATGTCTATCTTCCTCAGAGACAAATTCTTCTATTGGACGTCAACTACTTTGCAAAGTAGTCGACGTCCAAGTAAAAGTATACCGGACCTTTATGCACGCCATTGTACACCGCATTAATTAAATCGATTAATCGATATTTAAGTGACTAACAAACGAAATTTCACGGTCGAGTTCTCGAGGGATTTTTAGATTTAAAAATGTTCATGGAGGGTTCATGAAACGGATATCAACAATCTCTCCTGCAAAATGTAAAATCATTCTGTTTGTTTATATAAGGACAGACAGGAATTTACGTAATATTACTAATCGGCTACGTCGACCTTTCTACGATTCTCATTATCCACGATGAGCAAGAGCGAGCCGCGTTATTACGTCGTTGAGGGGAGAAACGATTCGTCATCGTCGAGACTTTGCCACTCGTTCTTCGAGATCCATTAATTTTACGAGATAGAACGATGTCTTTTTGCCTTTCGCGCTTAGAGACTTCTTGCGATAAACAGATAACGTCTTTCTTATATCGCGTATTGATAAGGTCTTCATTGTCGCGGTTAATAATATTATTCGAATAACTCTCAATATACCAATATGTAGTGTAGATTTACAAGTAAACCAACCCAAAAGTTACATTCCGATTTCTTTCTAATTTGACACAAATGTAGAAGTACAAAAAATATTTAGGTCATATTTTTTCATTTCACTCCTATCATCAACAAATGCAACAAAAATGCATAAGAAATAAAATTGTGAAATACAAGAAATAGGCGTTTTTGGTTTGCTGATTATGAGTATGAAGTCAAGTGTGTAAAATCATTTGTATAAATAATAAAATGTTTAAACAAAACATGTAAAAGATGAAAAAAATTATTTATACAAATAATTTCTCGGTTTGGCCGAGATTTGAACCATTTTTGACTAATTTAGTACAGATTTGAAATATTTCGGTTCGAATCTCGGCTAAAGAAATTTAGAATGGTTCGTATCTCAGTTATGCCAATTTTTTTTTAATTATTTAACTATGTCTTGTACTCAACTTTATTTCTTATGCATTTTTGTTGCACTTGTTGATAGTAGAAGTGAAAACATTAAAAAGCTATAAACTGAAACTCAACCGTGAAACTCAAAGTGGACCAAAATGAAAAAAATATGACCTACATTTTTTTTATCTTTTTACATTTCTGCCAAATTAGAAAGAAATCGGAGTGTATTTTTACTTGTGTAGATTTACTTGTTAAAGAAAAAAACATGATGATAGCAACTATGTAGATGACGAGCTTTGTATGTAGAATTAATCTATACAGTATATCTAGTTTCATGAACTATATACATTATAATTCTACTTACGCATAAAACTTGTATAGCTGTCATCTCTATAGCTGTCATTACTATGTTTTTCTCTGAGTGTAATTTAAAATGTTATTTTACATGAAAAATATTCAGTTTATTATATTATACAATATATCCCACCCTATTTTTATGTAAATAGACGGTTTAAAGCGCGTCACTGTTCCATACATTTCAAAAGTAAATAAAAGTTTTAAATCCTAAATAAAATAAAATCGAAATCCTAAATTTTATAAATTTAACATTTTCCAAAAAATTTCGTACTGTCACCTTTCGCACGATGACTTTGTCATCGGCAATCAATGCGATTTGTTTATATATTGCATGCACTACGTAACATGACGCTTTATGAGCGTACTGATCGTACACTCACCATTACGCGTTGATATCCAGCGACGTCCAGCCATCCAGGGCCAAGTCCAGGTCCATGTCCATGTCCAGGTCTTTAGCATCCAGTCTCAATGGTGTCTCTCTCTCTCTCTAGTCGTGGTCCCATGTGACACTTTCCTACACTCATGAACGCGATAATACTTTACGACGTTTAACGATCGATCGAAAAGAAAGTACGTGATAAATTATATAAAGAATGTACCCGCGAGTCGCGAATCGCGTAGGAAAAATCGCGAACTAAAGATCACGTACTTTTGACAAGCTCGAAAAAGAAAAAGTGAATATCTCGTTCCGCGGATGTTTGCACTTTGTTAAAACAAACGAACGTTTCGCGAAAAATTAAGCTTGTAATTTTGACTTGAATATATCTCTATCTTTGATCTGAATCAAAATAACGTTATAATTCGTTATGTATAAAAAAAATTACGAAATTGATAATTACGTGAAGATTACAAAAATCGCGAGCAAAATAAATAATCGCGAAACACGTGTGATAGTGCAATTTTGATGCACAATTTGGGTGCACAATTCAAGTGCACAGTTCAGGTGCACAATTCAGGTGCACAGTTCAGGTGCACGATTCGTGTGCACGATTGGAGTGCATGATTCAAGTGCACAATTCTGGAGAGTACATTATATTGAAACAATTAGGAGATTGCATTGAATAGCTCAATAGTAGCAAAAATCGCGAAATAGTCAACGATACTTTCGACGAGCTTAAAAAAAAAAGAAATTTCGTTCTGCGGACGTTTATACTTTGTTAAAACAAACGAAGTTCTTATTCCGCGAAGTATTGAACTTATAATTATAACTTCGAACTCTAATTTTTATTTCAACCAAAATAAAGTTATAACTCGTTATATGTGAAAGAATTGACAAAGTTAGCAATCGCGATTATTATACAAATGGCGAGTTAAATAAGTAATCGCGACCGAAGTAAATAATCGTGAGCAAAATAAATAATCGCGAATTCCGCGTGTGGTAATGCGATTTTGATGTGCAATTTATGTACATAGTTTGAGTGCACATTTCAGATGCACAGTTTGGGTGTATATGTTGGGATGCACAGTTTGGGTGCACATTTCAGATGCACAATTCTGGGGCGTATTTTACACTGCTTGGAATAATTAGGAGATTGCATTCGTCGAATAATTTTGTATCTTGAATTATTTATAACAAGTGTCAAATTATATTTATTCATATATAAGCAATTATACTAAACATTAATAAATTAGAAAGTAATTTTCGCTTATTTTTTCGATTAAAAAGAAAAAATCAGAACCGGTTCTTTACGAAAATATTGAGTAATTGAAGTATTTGATAAATAAAATGATTATTTACATATAGAAGCAATCTTCTGATTGTTTTAAGCAGTGTATTATAGTGGACTGCACAAACACAAACCCCTACACTGAGTGAAAATATAATATTTGTAAATTTAATTGTGTAGTGAAAGTATCATAGTTAACAAGTAAACTTATTTTTGTTATAAATGTATTACTACTATTTCTTTGTTAAAGTAAAAAAAATTGGTGCTGAAAATGATTACAATTTGATATCAATTATATTCTTCTCTCAGTATAAATAAAAATCTACGAGCTAAGTAAATCGCATTGATTTTTTTATAAAAACCGATCACCAATAAATTCATCACCGTAAACAAATCTTTGTGTCTGACTCACCGTTCAGGATTGGCTACGTTCTGTTACAGTTCTACAACAGAAAAATAGCATCGTCGATTAAATATGATGATTAATGGTGATTGATAAGAAAAATTCGCATAAATACAAGCGCGTATTAATGTATTGCGACTGTGGTAACTTATCGATTCTTACTCGTCGAAAATACTGTGATTTCCAGTTCGCGATATTTTCCATGCAATTCGCGACTCGCGGGTACAATTACGTCCCGGTTTCGTTCGCAAGGGGTTAGAAAAGGCGAAAGAATACGGGCAATCTATAAAATTACCTTCGAGCCGACTCTGCTTGGCCCGAACCGGATCCTCCGGTGCGGCATCCGCCGAAATTGCACATTCCGAGAACCGCGTCCAGCCACGAACTCCGTCACATCTGAAACAGAAAGCAAGTTTTCTGGTTAGTTATATAAAAAGATGTGAACTTATTAAAAAATAATGAAGCTCGTATATTTCTCTTTTATTTAAATCAATTTTGAAACGAATTAATTAAGGCGGAAAATGGTAGTCACCCCTAGGATGCCAGAGTGCTGCCATTGCACAAAATGATCCTTGTACGATGATTATGCATGCAGAGTATCGCAACGCGTACCAGAAACGATTCCATTGTGTTGGAAAAATCGGGTATCACGTCTCCCGACCCTTTCGCGACACATCACAGATTGTTATGATTGTTCGCGGTACTTGCGTATATAAATATGTTATTCGTCTGGGGATCACGTGACTTCTAACCGGCAAGACACACCCAAGAGATGGTTACATTACCCATTCATTCATTCTCCACATCATAATAGTGACGTTATACATTATTTTATGATACTTAAGGGAAGGAGGGGGTAAATATTCGAAAAAGGTCGCATCTCATAGGCAACACGTTTTTGTAAAAATAGAATAGATATTGAACGGCACGATAAAGTGAGTTAAATTTAATGGAAACATTTTTTATATATTTATCAAGCATGATTATTAAATTACAACTGGATTAAAATTGAGCTTATTTGGAATTAATCAAGCAATGAAAACTGTCATTTATACACACTTGTACTCATAAGAACTTAATTGTATTACATTTACTAGTGTGATTTAATATCTTAGTATCTTTCTCCTTTCATATTTCTTTGAGACTTTCTCCTTTATTCCGCCATGCGACGAATCACACTCCTTTGTGATGCAACGAGCGTCTTACATTGTTGAGCCAATTCACTCACTTTGTCTTCCCGTCTTCTTCAAAAAAGAACCCCCTGGAATACTCTAGGGTTCGTCCTTCGACCCTAGCTGTTATTCCCCCTGCTCGTGGCAGCTCTCGAATTATTTTGCAAACTCAATTCTGGAAGTGTCAGTCATCGAAATGCGGAAAATTTGCCGCATTGGGTAAACTGATCGTCGTAATCATGACAGTGTTCATTGCTTATTCCTCTAGCCATTACAACATAATATACGGTTAAATGAGAGACACATCTGGCTCAGGAAACTACGTGAAAGTTGGAAAATATTCTGATAATATTACAGAAGTGTATTCATTTTATGTTTAATATAAATGCAGTGTAGTTCTAGAGAGGCAGAGAGATAAAGAGAGAAATGAAATCAAAGGTCACGAAATAATAATCAAACACAAACCTAAAATTAAATCCCGAAATGAAATTTCTCGGCTGTATAACATTCATTCATATCCTTTCAATTGCAGGACCGTAAAATAAATATTTGTTATCTTTTAATTTTCACTTATTCCCATTTTTTTATCTTTCTCTTTCTCTCTTTCTTTCTCACTGTCGCTTTTTTTCCGCTATAATGTACGAATACAAATGTACAAACTAATGTACAAATTCTGAAATATCACTTTCAGGCACAAGCTCCTGGAAGGAACAATTTACGGAGGCACTGACCGTTAGTGGGGGCGACGAGGATGATGCCGATGGAAGCGGTCAACCGTCTTCACCATCGGCGATGGATTATCTCATGCACTCACTCACCATCTTCTGGAAGGTTCTTTTTGCCTTCGTCCCACCGACTGGTGAGTTACGATTATTCACCGTTCAACATATGTTTTATGGACGACAACGACTCTTATTTTCTCATTTATGCAATTTCTATTACTTACAAATTATACTTTTTTTTTATGTTCCCCGAAATGCTTTCCCATTTATTTATTCATTTTGCATAAAATAATTTAAACATAAAATTATTTATTTATTTATTTTTCATTTATTTATTTCGTCTAGGATAAAAATATTGTCTTCAACGTGTGATGACACGAGTTACAATAGCGCATTGTTTTCTTGTTCTGCAGAAAGTGGATCGTCCCCTTGAGAACAATTTAATTCCGCCGTATATATGTACGATATACGTAGCTCGCGATAAGATCGTATGATGCGAGTGCATTCTAGTTCACCGTGTGAATAGACGGAGCGTTTTGCGCGTGAGTAATAAAAGAGTATGGGAAACAACACTTGCTTTGCCGTACAAACGCCCTCTCGCGAACCTTGCAACGTCGCGTAACATCGTTCTTTAGCATCCCCTTTATCAGTGTGAACGCTGTGAACTGAACAGAAGATGGTCTCGACTGATTAAGAGGAGAAAAAAGACCCTAGAAGCACAGATCGGATTAAACCTAACATATCCGCGATTTGGAGGACGGGCGTTACAAAGATAAAAGTGGCTAATTGGTATAAGCGAAGCACGATTCGTTCAAAGAACGATCGCGATTAAGAGGAACATATCGAAGGGAGAATTATACGCACGAGGATAAAAGAATGTAAAAATAAAGTAATATAAAACAGAAGAGGGCTGGAATGCGACGGAGAATAGAGATATTAAGGAAGAAGAGGATGGTATATATACATATACAGTTGCGCGTGGGATTGTGAAATTTAGAGAGCTCGCGCGCGTGGGGAGCCACGGGATCAGTGTGTAACACCAGCTGGATTCCCGTGCTGTTTTTTGAAGTACGACCACAGGGGGAATACCATCTGATCTCTCGCCGTTTTCGTTTCTTCAAGTGTGGAAACGTCGGAGATAAAAGGCGCCTCGCGCGCGCGTTATCACGCCCCTCTTGGCTCCCGACATACTTTTCACACCGTTTCGCACAGTTTTTATCCGCGGGCAGTACACGTGAAATGTCGAAGATGCTGGGAAGATTACCTTTTCCCCGACAGAATTAGCTTCTGCGAATCGTGGTGAAGAGGTCGAAAGATCCCAGAGAAGCAAGACGAAAGTAAAAAAAAAAAAAAGAAAGGAAAATAAATGGGAGCAGTTGCACAATGATACGTGGAAAAAGAAGATATGGTGTACATAACCAAAGATAGTTACGAGCAACGTAGCTGCATCATCCTAGTTATCTTTGTATGATAACGTATATGGTGTTGATACAACTTAGTTACTTTGATACATCGACTATATTAATGTAGCTGCGCGTGATCAAGTTATGTGACAACCAAAAGTCGGTCAGAGTAACGTTTGACATGGATACACTCTGTTTGGAGAAACCAGATACCGTAACTCTTGCTTTGTAATTACACCAACCATATAATTAGCATTAACCATATTTTATTACACGGAGAGAATATTATAGTTTCTTTTCATATTAATTCTTTTCAATTTTACTATGTTCTTAACACGTTGACTGCCCAACGTAAATTAAGTATATATATGAAATATAGCTGTCACCTATATATAGGTGACTTGGCGATCAACATGTTAATTGTCCAAGAATAGACTGTCAGTAAAGTCTATCTTGCTAAAGAACATAGTAAATTTCATTAGAAATACAGCAAGTTTTGCCAGAAACATAACAAGTGTTTTAATAATCAACATATATTCGATACATAATAGTTAATACATTTGCTCAAATATAAATAGCATATATGAAATGAAAGAATAGAGTGAATTACTACGGAATATCGGTGTTTCTCGGTTCCTATAGGAATTTTTACTATAAAATTCTCTGTGTGTATTATCCGGTATTTTACCGATTAGCTCAACCAGACTTATGCGTAGGTCAACCATATTATTTTTTCCATGCAGCGAATGAGATGCTCTGTCATTTTCATAAGCTACACTGGTGTGCACTATGCAGTGTCTTTAGCGTAAGGGTAGTTTCACATACATATACACACACACACACATACACATCACGTATATTTGTATCAATTCGCGAAATACACAAGATTTCTCACCCTCCCGTCTCGGGTGTTTCATTTCCGTGCGCGCTCCGTGCTTTTTGCTTTAGACTTTCCACCAATATCTTTTTCACTTTCCTTTCTCCTTTCCTTTTGTTTTTGAGGTACGAAGGGATTTTCTCTACGCCTTTTAGTTACGGTTCTGCCTCCACCGGGTGGAAGAAAACGAGGCAAGACTGTCGAGGCAGGGGAAAGGGAAGAGAGAGGAGAAGAGGCAAAGAGGCGAAGGAGGAAACGTGCTTTATTTCAGCGAGCACAATCGTGAAAGCCTGCTGAACTGGCAAAAGCTCTGGAAACTACTGTATCGAGCAGCGTAGTTTCACCCTGTTTATTCCGCTCCCTCCTTTCTCCTCCTTAACCTCCCGCCGTCCTTATAAATCAACGCTTCATTGCAAGATGCAAAACTGCATTTGCCTTCCTTTACCCGTGGGTAAACGAGGGTTGGGGCGAAAGTGGGCAGGGGGGAATACAGCCAGGCAGATGTCGTCGGGAATGATCGAGAAAGTTTTTCGGTTATTGTCGCTAACGACACTAAAGCACGACGCGAAATAATATAACAAACAGACGTTCGAACTGAAAACGGCGATATACCGCTGCCACGCAGCGTTTAAAAGGCGAGACCTCGGCCGCAAAATTTATGGACACGTCGCGCTTTGTCTGAAGGTAATTTTCAGCAACGCTTTTGTTAGCGAGCTTTGCGAAGCGATTTTTACGCACCCGCACCCGTGCTAACGCCGTTTGACCGGAAAAAACTCGTAAAATTCGAAGCTGAGAATTGAATACCCGCGAGGAGACTTCATTTGGGGATTAAGTGCGGAAACGTCACGAAATATTTTAGCATCGTGGCTTTTTCAGGGATATTAGAAAATCCCATGAACGCGTACATACATACACACATATACACACACGTATACACGTACATATACGTGCGCGGCGTTCTCTGCTTTTCCACGAAATTTTCACGTGATTTATAGCGACCTACGCCCGCATACTCTTTTCCAAAGTAATTTTCGTTCGCGGAATTTACGACAATGGCTGTTCTGCCTCTGTAGAGCGGCGTGTTCGAGATACTAAACAAGTTTTTCCCAATAAGCGTTAGAAACTGATAGATTCGCAAACGGAGCAAACGATATATTTGCAGCGGCGGAATAAACATGTGCACATCAATTAATCCCTTCTTTAAAAAAAAAAGGGATATTATATTTTTTCGTGATCGCGATATATTACTTTCTATGTTACGTTTTTTGTATATACAATAAATATAAAGACAAAGAAATATGACACTTTTTTTTGTTTCGTTCAACTCGTACTTCTTCGTGCAGAGAAAATTTTAAATTATAAATTCATGTTGAAATCACTGAATATTAGAGAATTGCATTGTAATTTATTTCGATATTTTTAGACGTTCAATTTAATGATGTTACCGCGACGAGCTTACTCAGTCTCGAGGGAATTTCCGAGCTTGCTGACTTTCCGATAATTACATAATGTAATCAGCAGCGAGTCTCTGTCTGACAGCTTGAAAAAGACCACGAAACACGTTAATAAATCAGTCGAGTTTAGCAAGTACGGCGAGCGCGTGCTGCGATAATATACACCGGCCACGTGTTAACAGTAAAGCTAACCGCGTGTTTACGAACTCTTTAGCTATATTTACGCCCGTGTTCGCCGTAAACATGGCTTCCTATAAAGATCTCTAATAATAATTTCCTCTCTTGTTGTTGAAAAGAGAGACACAGAGAGTGGGTAAAGGGGAGAGAGAGAAAGGGAGAGATGAGAAGGAGGTCGACGCGTCCATAAATCTCAGTTCGAACTCTCATAAGTGACGAATTTGACTTTTTATCGGATTTTATCCGCATTATTGATTTCAGTGTTCGTTGAAAGTTTCATCGAGATTATTTCGGATTTCTATCTCTACCTCTCTTGGGAACCTTCCGTCTTGGAGATCTTATTACATTTAAACGTTTTTGAAATTTCTTGGGTAAGCTCCGCGGATTATTTGTGGGGATGTCTATGAGATCCCAATACGAGATGACGTGTCTACAGATATTCTTATTTGCCGTCCCTGTCGTAATTCAAACGGATATATCACGGTTACGGCTTTCATGGCGGATCGTGTCCCATACGTCAGGATGTGCGTCAGGTGCGGTCCCATAATTCGTGCGAGGGAATCGGGTCACGTTCCATAGACAAAACTGACTGCAGCTTTGGGCTTCTGCGAGCACAGTGGGGCGACCGCACACACATTTATCGCGTATTATAAATAGAAATTAATTCGGCGGAAACGCGCGGTGCGATTGTCATCTTATATTGTGCGATCGTTATCGCTTAATATTCAATTTGGTCGGATTAGTGGCGAAATTGGAAAATTCCCTGAACAACGGACGCTCGAAACGTGTGTATGTGTGTGTGTGTGTGCACGTGTGTATATACATATGCACACAATCGCACGTGAGAGCACAATGCCGAGCCTCTGGCAGATCTAATTAATCCAATTAATCTGAATGACCGGAAAGGACCTGCGCAAATATTTGCCTGTCGTGTCCAAGTACTTGCGAGATGCTGCTAGATAAACGTCAATTCACGTTTATAAATAAGTAGTGCGATCCACGTAAGCGACTATTAAACCGTGTTCCCAAATAAACGACACGATGAAGGAAAATGTGAGCTAGTGCAGAAGAGTATTACGACGTGCGATATTCAATAATTGGACGGGATGTGTATGTGTAAAGAGAAAAGCGCTATCGCAACTCACGTAATCCACGTTTTAAATAAACAATTATTAAACGCATATTTTTCACATATTTTTTATACATGTTTTAATGTATTTTTTCTTTATTTTTATATGTCCCTTAATATATTCTCTAATATATTTTATGTTCTCCACATAATAACAGGTAGTTACCTACACAGAGATTATATCGTAAAACTATCGTATGATATTTTAATAACGTATTCTGGAGTTTATATATAATTAGAATAAAAAATTCATGACACTGGCATTGTTGAAGCATCAAAGTTTGTCAGTTGTAAGCTAATGAAAAACATGGCTGTTTCACGAATTAAATTTCAAGAAGCTAAATGAATAATAAAGTTGCATTTTCAGTTAATTTCAGATGGAGTACACATGAGCGGAATTCTCATTGGAAGCTTATAATAGCAAAACTACATATTTAAAATAGTAAAATCGTAATAAACGATAATTTCTCTCTTTCTCTCTCTCTCTCTCTTTCTCTTTCTCTCTCTCTCTCTCTACTATTTTCGTATTGGAATTTTCGACCAATTAACTCCCAGAATGCTCTATCAAAATATTGCACGATAATTTCGCGAAATCTTGTGCAGCCGATCATTGTATATGTTTAAATATTATACATTCATGTAACTCTTGAAAAGTGCAATGTATGATGCGGTCGTGTCGTTTAAGCAGTCTCCGAATTGCGGGATATTCACACGTGGTTGAGTCGCGGTCATTGGCGAAGTTTGCGGACGAAGTTTCGCGGCATCCATCCCCCTCCCCCCTTCCCAGTTCATCTCCAGACGGACGGCTGGATACGAGAATTCCCACGCTGCGGGGCTTCGCTACCGCCGAACTCGTGAAACACAAATCGCAAGGGATGTCAACCCCCTCCGCCGAACGTCGGCTTTAATTAAGGGATAAAATCTCGATTAATTCGCGATGCGTATGGCGTTTGTTCGCCTTGACTGTTCAATTTTCCAGTGTGTCATCCGCGATGTTTACACACACACACACACATAACGCGTGTACCGTATCTACGACACGTAGAAAGAAATAGAAGGAGGCACGAGGTAAATATCGTTTTTCTTTTCACTTTTCCGTCGCGTTGCAGATATTGCCGGCGGTTATCTGTGCTTTATCGTCAGCATCTTGGGAATTGGCGTGGTCACGGCGGTAATCGGCGACGTCGCCTCGTACTTCGGTTGCACCCTGGGCATCAAGGATTCCGTCACTGCGGTGGTTTTCGTCGCTCTTGGTACTAGCATCCCCGGTAAGTGTCAAACGAAACGCAAACTTCCCTAATACAGTAAACTGCTAAGCTAGCGGGTCACCAGCGAGACCATATCGGCCGCACGCATTTGCAATACAAATGCCACAAATTATGGAATGCTTATACAGCGAGTGTCTCGAAACTAGCGGGTTCCTCGTGCAAACACACCGAGCGTCCCAATTCGCGCTTGCTCGTTCGTCTTCTCTCCTTTAGAAGGGAAAATTTTACTGCACGGAAGGTGTTTTATAGCGAAAATCACTGTAGAATTTCGTAACCGAGGAGCAGATCGATATTCTGCAGAAATTGACTATCCTTTCTCTTCATGCCACTTATATTTTAGAAATTGAAATGTGCTATTGAATAATTTGCCGTGTTTCTAGTAAAATTTACTATGTTCCCTAGAGAGAAAGGTAGACTTTACTAACAGATTCCTGGAAATAGCTAAACTGGAAAAAATTTATATGAAAAGAACCTACAATTCTACACTCTATTCTTCATAAAAATTACGAAGTAGAGCTTATAAGAGCCCTGCAGTAGGTGTCAGTATGACCATATTTATTAAAACTTGAGCAAACTGCTGGAACAGTTCTTCAAAAACTGTATAAGAATACATTTATTATAGTGTTAGTTGTTAAAAATTTTATTTTAGTATATTTTTATTATATTATATGTTTATATTTATTAAATTATTATTGTGTTGAAAAATTAAATAAATTATTTGAACAATTCTTTGTATATCCTTATATAAAAAAAAGAGTTGTTCAAGCAATTTATTCATTTTTCAATAGATATTGTCACATTAACGTCTAATATGCAGACCTCTTACAGACCTTACCTCGTAACTGATTTTTAATCTTAGAGATTTTCTACTATTCTTTTATTAAATATTTTACACGAAGTAACTGCGGTTAAACGCGAGAATCATGATTTCGCCGAGATATTCTTTATCGTCCTATATAATTGATGTTATTGAGCCTCGGAATAGCAGTTATATCGAGGTTTTTTCGTAATGTTGTTTACCCGTTGAACAAGCTTCTATACGTTCCCCAACTACGGCGAACGCCGCCATGTCGGGACTCGTAAAACCTTAATGGAAGTAGTTGCGAGCAGCTTCCGTCGTTCTAAAACAGTTATTTATCTCGCGAGCAAGTTGAATGACTTTCTGGAATTTCCTGCGCCACATGTTTTGCACAACGGGACGAATCTCAGCCCTTACTTTCAAATCATTAAGACGCAGACATTCGCGCTTCATCATACGTTGTTTGTTTTGGCGGTTATTTCGGTTGCTCGCGCGTTATATTTGTCAACGGTGATTTATATCGGTTGTAACCGGCCGGATGTGTTATTTTGTTATGTCTCGTGAAAACCGGATTTCCGAAAAAAAGAACAAGAAAGAAGGAGAGAATTCAATTGTGCGCTGCAGGCACATAAACGCGAAGAAGCATTGAAAAATTACAGAGTCTATAACATTCCTCAGCTTTGTCTCGCAATATTGTTCCTCGTATCTGTTATCACGATCTGATCCGTTTTGTGGGGCACTTTCAGTGAGGGCCGGCGTCGTAAAAATTAAAAAAAACAGACAAACGAACGCGTGCAGGAGTAGTACCACGTCGAAGGACGTGGAAGTAAATAACGTTCCGCGATTCATAGACAATCTTTATTGGTCGGTCGTATTGCTTCTTTGATTATCGCAACCGGCAGTACCGGCGTGGAGAGCTCGGATTAAGTTCGGTCAGGCAGTCATTAAGAAACTCCGATTTGCCGTGTTACAGTACGCGGCTGATCCACGGGCAAAGTCCCATCGACGTCGAGAACCGTTTAAAGTGGGTACATAGTAGCCCATGAACATGCTGAAGATGCTATCTCGAGGATAAAGAGCCTGATAAATCTCAAGTTGCCGGGCGGAAAATCCCGCTTTTTCCAGCTTTCCGTACGCGCCCGCTTTTGCGTCCCTTATGGGATCTTCATTCGTATCGCGCATCAACCACAATCCCAAGATAACAATTGCATTTCTCCCGTACGAGGAAAACGCGACGACAACGACGCTTTTGCAAAATGAGAAAGATTTTCTTTCTACGCGGTTCTTTCCCGCGAATTTTTTCGAGATTGTATTGTTGCTTCTAATGGATGTGTTGCGTATTTCTTTTTTTTTTTTATTTTTAGTATCCGTTCCTTTTAACTGTTCACAATCGACAATTTCGTTGTTACGTTATCGGCCGGCGATGTTGCGAAAAGTTTCCTCATATGTATATTTAGAAAAACGAAATCAATTACATCGATATATCTGTGCGATTGCGACCTAGCCCGCATCTCTTTCACTATTTCCGTACAAAATCCGACATGGACGTTTAATAAATCATTTGAGCGGGCGTTATCAAAAGCTATTAAAAGCGTAACGACAGCTACGTCATTACGGGGGTTTCTGGGTCAATAGGTTACGTCCAAAATTTGCATCTAAAACAGCAGTTGTCCCTCGCACGAAATTGATCACTCTAAATACGTTCATAAAATCTTCATACACGGTAGCTGCGCGTCTATCCTACTTTGCGTGATACTAAGAACGAACGTAAGAAAATGTCCGAGTTGCGACAGCTTGCAACAATTTAACGTTACAAGCGCGCGTTACACCTTTTTCAGATATCAGCTGATCTGTTTATATAGATTATATCTCGATTCAAATGTTATTCGCACGCAGGCAGTGACAGCGTGCATATTAACTGACAAAATAATTTTAACACGCAATTCATACAGACACATATTAAGTTATTAAAATTCTGCAATCTTACACACTCAGTCCCGCGAATTTTTTACTATGGATACATTGAAAATGATACTTTTCCCGTCGTCAGAAAGACGATGCAATGATCTTGATGTTGAATCCGAATATCATGAATGCACGCGAAATTTGATATTATACGATACATTTGTCGTTGCGAAAGCGCCAAGAACTATAGATCGTTCAATGAATGCGGCGCTACATGAGAACGTGTAGCTACACTGAGTTGAAAAAAATTATTTATACAAATAATTTCTCGATTTGGCCGAGATTCGAACCATTTTTAACTAATTTAGCACAGGTTTGAAATATTTCGGTTGGAATCTTAGCTAAAGAAATTTAGAATGGTTTGTGTCTCAGCTATGCCGATTTTGTTAAAATTATTTAATCTATATTTTGTATTCAATTTTATTTCTTATGCATTTTTGTTGCACTTATTGATGATAAGAGTGAGAACATTAAAACGCTATAAACTGCCCGTGAAATTCAAAATAGGCCAAAATGAAAAAAATATTACCTAAATATTTTTTGTATTTCTACATTTGTGCCAAATTAGAAAAAAATCGGAATGTAACTTTTGAATTGGTTTACTTGTGCACTGAGAAAAAAAATTTACTAAATTTAAAAAAATGTTTGGATAGTACTGCGCGAAGATATTTGTTTAAATTAAGTAATTATTTTCTAAAATTAAATAAAGAAGTTTTAAATATAAATTTGTTTCTTTAATTTTAGAAAATAATTACTTAATTTATACAAATATCTTCTAGTTACTAGAAGATATTTGTACTATTCAAACAAACGTTTTTTGAAATTTAGTAAATTTTTTCTCAGTGTGAAAGAAAAAAGTATTTATTTGGCATGGATACTAATAAATACATATTTATTTATACTAATATAAAATATTTTTTAAATAAGAAATATATATTTCCGTGAAACTCTTTAATTTTTCATGAAAACAACTGTTTATTTTATTTAAATAAAAAATTAAGATTTTTAAATATGTTACTAGTACCCACTGAAGAAATATTTTTTAGATATTTCTTTTTTTAAAGTCTAAAACCGATTGCGACTGATCGAAAATTTTTAGTATCTATCGATATGTATCGGTAGTAAGATATTCACGGAATGAAAGTGTATATTTTTTGCTAAAAGCTTATTTATAATACGCTTGGCGTAAGTTGGAGTAAAAAATAATTTATTTGCTTACGCCTATATTCTAGCCTTTTTACACTGAAAGTATTCCACTTATTTAATAAATAATCGAAATAAAGAAATAAAGAAATTTCCGATGTAAGAAGGATAGAACATAGGCGCTCCAGCGAAATAAGTTCTCAGATCATAGACATCTTAATGACGTCTAAATGACGTCTTTTGACGTCACCTTGTTACCTGAGTTATTTCTATTTCTTCTCGAATAGCAGACTCACATCAAAATAACATCAAAAACTGGTCATAACTGGTCGATTGACGTCAAGTGACTAAATAATAACGTCTTTAAGATGTCTTTTTTGTGACGTCTTAAAGACGTTTCTGTACAACGTCTTAATCACGTATTATTGACATTTAGAGACGTCATTAAAACGTCATTAAGTCGTCTTAAAATGTCGTCATGGGTCTGTGACATTAGATCGTTATTTTGACGACATTTTCACGACATTTTTGGTCATTCCTTAGTTATTTTTGGTCATGAACTGACCAGATTTGGACGTCATTTTGACGTGAGTCTGCTACCTGGGTTATTTTAACTTATGCCAAGTTCATTCCGCATGCTATAGATGAGTCTTAACTGCTCGATGTTGCCTTCTGAAATTTGACGTTGTGAATATCCCTGGCGTTGTCTTTTTCTTTTTTTCTCTGATTATCGTCGAATTTCTAATTCCCGATTAATAAATCCGATTCTATTACTAATTGAATGAGTAAAAGATAATAGTGAAAATGACAAGCGCCCATTGGACACGACGCGGCAAGCACGAGCTGCATGTATAAGAAACGAGAAGAACATTTAGTACCAACGTACTTACAATACATGCCGACGGTCGCACGGTCGCTATTTTTGGCCCTTCTGATACATCTCTCTACGCGAGACTTACTTGCGACAGAAACTAAAGACCTGCAGAACGCGGAGTAACGTCAATCGATGTGTAATGGTGGCTACGCGACGTAAAAAGATCGAAGAAACCCGTGCAATTCGTATTGTCGCACTCTGGTGACGGCGCGCTCTATA